TGAAATAGTCAGCAGTGCCTACTTCGAGAATTCAATTAATTCGACCACTCACGCGGTAACTCCCTTGCGGGATCTTTTAGAAAGCACACATACAGATGTAGATGGAGAGACGGAGATGGAGAGCAAGAGATAGTTAAATAGGAAAATTAGCAGAATCTCGCATCTGAATCTCTTTAGTTACCTATTTACTTGATGTCATTATTAAAAATTTACATAAATTCAACTAGTTAAGTAAATTTAGATAGTTAGTCTTGTGTTTTCGTAACTTTAAAAAAAATTAGAAAAACGGTTCACCCTAAAGGCCATCCCTGCAACTTCCCGCTCATTTTGTACTTAAACGCTTCAAACTACACATTACGTTTTTGAGCTCTTCGAGCTCAAAAATATTATTTTTGTGTCAATTTGAGCTCTTCGAGCTCAAAACTCTAATAGCAGTTTAAAGACACAATTTTTTGAATTTTCAAACGGCAATAACTTTTGAATAAATGAACCGATTTTCACGCGGTTGGCGGCAATCGACGCAGTTTTTAAAGGTCCATGAAAAATTTTCTAGTTTATATCGATCGAGCCATGAATTTCGAAGTTATTACAAAAAAATACTTTTTTCGATTTTTTTCGACAACGATATCTCACAAACACATCAACCGATTCTAACGTTTTTGGTGACGATCGATGGGGGGTTTTAAGGTTAAGAGCTGATTAGTTTTTGAGACCGATCGGTTCAGCCAATTCGGAGATATTTAAAAAAAATAAAGAAAAACAACTTTTTTTTTCACTTTTTTTGCATTTTCTCGAAATCTACCGGTCCGAATCGGTTCAAATTTTCAGGAAATCTAAGTTTAGTGAAGCCCTTTCGAATGACACCAACCGCGATGAAATCGGTCGAGTCGTTCAAAAGTTACAAGAGGTTTACATACACACACACACACACACACACACACACACACACACACACACACACACACACACACACACCAACAACGATATGAAAATGTCCCAACAATTTCAAACATCGTCTACGGTGCAGAGGAGGGATACCTTAGTGCCGGCGAGGGAAGGCGTACAAACGGGCCTGAACTCGTCGTTATCAAGCGATCGTTTGAACAGTGGAGTGGACCCCATTGCTCTGCTGTTTAGCAATGCTACAGGGAGTAAAGAAACAGTTCAGATGGAAGTGGACACACAGCAAACAAACCTTCCTCTAATAAGTGGAAGACCTGTTGCTCCCGTCAACACTCACGCATACCGAGGGAGGATCAACTCTCTACCGACTGTCACCGGCCAACTTACGCCAATGGAACGGCTCGATAGCAAAATCGAAGAATTGGCTGAGTTTATAAAGGATAAAAGAAATGTACATCATGAACTCAGAAAAATAGTAGCGTCCATTGGCACGGCATATAAGTTGGCCAACAAACCAGTAACGAAGTCTGCGACAACCACGCAAACATCTCCGGGTCTGAACAAAAAATCACACTCGTTTTTGGTCACCCCTGAGAAATCCCAGCATGGAGAAGAAAACAACAAGAAGAGGCCGCTGTCTACGCCCAGCCCTTCCTCAGAAAACAAGAAGCCAGCACAGAAAAAGCCAGCCCGGGGCGACACCTGGACTAAAGTGACTGGACAAAAGAAAAGGAAGGAAACAAAACAGGAGCCAGCACACAATCTAGTGAAACCCAAAACCAACCAAGTACGGCTGGCACTAAGAAACCAAGGAGAAAGAAGACAAGAACAAAAGCTGTCCTTGTCCAACCAGCCGAAGGGCGAACATACGCCGATCTCCTTAAAGAAATTAAGGCCAAGGTAAGCCCTGTCGAAACAGACGTAGACATAAGGTCTATCAAAAAGACGAAACATGGAGGCGTTCTCCTTGAAATGTCTCGAAAGACCGAGGACAGTAAGGCATTCACCGATGCAGTAAAGTCAGCTACTGCAAACATCGGCACGGTCAAGACGCTAACACCAACAGCAACGATCGAGATCCTCGACCTGGATGAAATCTCTACCGAGAGCGAAGTCCGTGAAGCACTCAAACGTGAATCCACTGACAGCCTGGAGGTCAAACGGGTCAATTTGACAAAGCCCACACCACGAGGTAATCGGGCAGCCTTCTGCGAACTAGACAAGCCCAGTGCGATTAAGGCCCTTGACAAGGCCCGTATATGGATCGGTTTGGTGAACTGTCGTATACGCCCAGTGGTAAAAGTAACACGTTGTTTTAAATGTCTTGGTTATGGACACCACACACGTCAGTGTGCGGGACCAGACAGAAGCAAGTGCTGTTACAAATGTGGCGGAGAGAACCACAAGGCCGTAAACTGCCCGGAGATGCTAAAATGCTTCCTTTGTGCTTCGGACAAAGATGCCCAGGATAGTCTATGCCATACTTCTGGCACTGGAGCTTGCAAGGCATTCCGCAAAGCACTTGCAGAAGCCACGAGAGGTCAGAAATGACACGCATACTACAAGGCAACCTGAATAGGTGCGCCTTGGCGCAAAACCTGCTGCGCCAGCGTGTTTTTGAAGATAAAATTGATGTCTGCTTTATCTGTGAGCAATATCTAAACATCGAAGGTAAAACATGGTTCGCAGACAAAACGCGCACGGCAGCAATTTGGATTGTGAACACAAAGAACGTTACCGTCAACAACAGCGGAAGTGGAGCAGGTTTTGTCTGGATCCAAACCCCCACAACCTACTTCATGAGCGTCTATCTCTCACCTAACGAAGGGATTAGTGTGTTCCGACAGAAACTGTCAAATATAGAAGATGCGATCATTAAGTTCGACGGTGAAGTTATCGTAGCCGGAGACTTCAATGCTAAATCAGCTGAGTGGGGCGCTGCTTTCTCCAATACCAGAGGAAACGAGGTCGCTGACGTCGCGGCTAGACTCGACCTCATAGTGCTGAACACCGGGAGCACAACAACCTTTAGAAGACCAGGGTACCAAGAATCCATCCTCGACATCTCATTGGCGACTCCAAGGACTGCCAACATGATCGAAGACTGGGTAGTATCCGAAGAATACAGTGGCAGTGATCACCAGTTCGTGACATACAGCGTCGGATTGGCATTTGCTCCGGTTTCACAACGCGACGTTTCTAAGTGGAAGTGGAATGCCAAAAGGCTTGATCCAGAGGCATTGAAAGCTTCGCTTGCGCGAAGCTGGTCTATTCTTCAGAACAACACGACTCCGGATACGTGCAGCGAGACGGAAAAGGCAGTGCTAAATACGATGAAGGAAATTGCTGCCGCATGTGATGCCTCTATGCCGCGGCTGAAAAACCAGAGATTCCACAGGCCGGCATACTGGTGGTCAGCAGACATAGCAGAACTTCGCAAAATATGCCATCAGCTACGTCGCCGAGCAACGAGAGCCGCGAAACGCTCCCCAGGCCAGGACGTGTATTCAAAAGAGTATAAGCAGGCCAAAAAGACGCTAAACCGAGCCATCAAAGCAAGTAAAGCGAAGTTGTGGAAAGAGATCTGCAATGATCTCGACAATGACCTCTGGGGTAAAGCCTACCAAATTGTCGCCAAACGACTTGGAAAGGCTTCACCAGAGGCGCCGAAGTCTCCTGCCATGATGGACAGCATTGTAGCGGAGCTTTTTCCCAAACACCTGCCGCGGGAAAAGAAACACTACACTAAGAACAGCGAAGTAACACCCTTCACAACTAAGGAACTACAAGACGCGGCCAAGTCACTCAAAACAGGAAAGGCACCTGGAGCTGATGGCATCCCGGCATCGGTGATCAAGATTGTAGCCCTGGAATACCCAGACATACTGCTGAACACCTACAATGCATGCTTGGCAACTGGCACGTTTCCCACGGTCTGGAAACGGCAGAGATTGGTTCTCTTAGACAAAGGTAAGGGAACCCCCATACCACCTTCGTCGTTTAGACCACTCTGTATGCTGGATATTGCTGGAAAACTGCTCGAGAAGCTCATACAAGGGAGACTTCGCAACGACATAGACCGTGCTGGAGGTTTTGCCGCGAACCAACATGGCTTCCGGAAAGGACGTTCAACAGTAGGCGCGATACAGAAAGTCGTAAGGACAGCGAGAGAAGCATGAACTGGTAGCCTCAAAGCTCGCAAGGTGTGTCTTGTCCTCACGCTAGACATTAGAAATGCCTTTAACAGCGCAAATTGGAGAGATATTTTGGACGCCCTGGAGCACAGATTTGACGTAGAACCGTAGAATCTGGCACTAGTTGACAACTATCTTGACGAAAGAAAGCTAATAGCAGAAACCACGGAAGGCTCACAAGAATACGCCATAACGGCTGGCGTGCCGCAAGGCTCAATAATGGGGCCCGATCTATGGAACGCGGACTACGACGAGCTTCTTGAAATACCGTTGCCAAAGCAAGTGGAGCTAACGGGCTTTGCAGACGACGTCGCGGCCATGATAATAGTAGACAGCGTAGAGGAGGCCGAACTACTAGTTCGGGAAACCATTGATGCTGTCGAGACTTGGCTCGATAAACACCACCTGAAACTCGCCAAGCACAAAATCGAGATGGTCGTTCTGACTCGCCAAAAATGGTTCCCAAAACCATTCGCTATGGACATGGGAGGAACAACACTCATGTCAACAAGGGCCCTGCGCTATCTAGGGGTAATGATAGACGAGAAACTATCTTTCCGTGAACACCTCGACAGTGCATGCAAGAAAGCCAGCAAGACTGTGTCTAGCCTAGCACGAATTATGACCAACACCATGGGACCAAGAACAAAAAAGAGAAGAGTTCTTCTAGAAGCAGTCCACTCGGTACTGCTTTATGGAGCAGAGATATGGGCAGACATATTAAAGCAGAAGACCTACCGGCGAAAGATAGCAGCAGTACAGCGGCGAGGCGCTCTCAGGGTTGCCTGCGCCTACCGCACAGTTTCCGAAGCGGCTGTATTGGTCATTGCAGGAGCCGCGCCCATCGACCTATTAGCGTTCGAAAGAGCAAAACTCTATGTCACTAAAATCAGTGACGAAAACATGAAGGACGCAAGAACGAGGATAAAGACGGAAACGCAGCAAGAGTGGCAGGACCGATGGACATCGGGAGAGACGAGCAGATGGACGGCGCGCCTGATCCCAAACATCAACGTCTGGCTTTCTCGGAAGCATGATGGGTTTGCACAGCACACCAACGTGCAAATACTGCCCAGACAAAATTGACAACGCCGAACACACGTTTTTCGAGTGTGATCGGTGAAAGGACGACAGAACCAGCACCGAAGAAACAATAGGCACCACGCTCTCCCCTGAGAGCTTGGTAACCTGCATGATAAAAAAAGAAGAAAACTGGTCAGCTGTCGCAGCCTACGCGCAGCGCCTTTTAAAAGAAAAAATCGCAGAAAGGAATTAGAAATCAGTAGTAACAAGAAGTAGGTGTCATGAGACACAATATGGACTGGATTGAAGTAATGCTAACGCGGTCCCGTTCCAGTCATCCCTGTAACATCTATAGGGAAAGGAGAGAGGAGGATGTTTAGTCGGTATTGTTGCAAATATTGACTTCCGAGTCCGACATACCCAGGCACCAACACCTAGTCCTGGCAACAACACCAAGCCCTGGCATACGTAAATGTATTTTACCTCCTCTATAAAAAAAAAAAAAAAAAAAAAAAAACACACACACACACACACACACACACACACACACACATACACGTGTCTTTCGAAGATTTTTTCCGCTAAAAAAAAAAAAAAAAACAAAAAAACAACACACACACACACACACACACACACACACATACATACAGACATAGTGACAACATCGCGGGGGTGGTCAGGGAAGCTTCCTGTGACCTTTAAACGTCGAAATCTGATGAAAACTCGATTTTTGCAAAACGGGGTAAAAACAATAACTTCCCGATTTTTTAAAATCTGAGATTTTTAACGGGAAGTTAAAAATCATGTTACTCAAATTAAAGTGAATTAAAACGGTTGACCCAAAACTAGCTAATCTTCAAAAAATTTTGATTTGCTCAGTAAAAAGGCAAAAAAACAATTTGTTTGTAAAAAATAAAATTTGGTGCTTATCTCGAGTGTTATTTATCTAAAAAATAGCAAGAGTGTCAGCAATCCTTTTTCAGCAAGTTAACATGCACATAAAAGAGGTGTAAATTCTCGAGGTGAGTGTCAGCATGCAACTACTCAAACGGCGTGGAAGATCTGAAGTAAACATCGAGACGAAAGGAAGGCGTCACACCCGGTTGTTGATTTAGGACGAGACCAACAAACTTTGAGAATGTAGGCTAACCCTCGTGAGACACATGTTACAAAATCAATATTTTCTATCTCACCATCTCAAGAATTACCCCCTGACTATGGCTTTTAAGATGCATGAGTTAAAGAGATAAATCTTTTAGTCTTCTGCCGATATATTTTTCATCGATATGTTTTTAGTACAGGGAATACGTTAAGTCTCATCGAATTTATTATAAATGACCCGTGAAAAAATCTGACATAGCCAATATTGATATCTGTCCCTATATGGCTTCATATGGCTTGATCAAGTTAAAATTTTAAGAACTTTCTGAACATTTACCATCAACTATCACCAAGACAATTTTTACTTAGGTTAACATTTTTGAATTGCTGTGGATCACCATTAGAAAAATTGAAAATTTTAGCTACATTGGAGAAAGAATATTCTTTTTCGAATAATGATTATACATGTAAAATTCTTACAAGATTGCGAAATTAAATAAATACTATTATTACTATTATTTATAAACATCAGATAAGCTCTTTACGAGAGTAAAAAAAATTCATTGATTATGCGCTTTTTGTCAATGATTTTGGACACTACTTATGGTCGAAAAATTTCATGTATAGTCATATCAAGTCATATCAGAATATTTCTTCCATGGTGATGAAAATAAGACTCAACAAATCGGAAAAATACTGTGATTTTAAATGACTAACGTCAAATTAATAAAAGATCATTTTCTTAAATGTCACTCATTTAATAAACCCACCTTCTTTTACATCTTCAATTTCTCGATTCACTGCACTGCTGCAATCGCCTTGCTCGCTGGTTCTTTTTCTTTTCAACAAATCAATTGACGAGTCAAATATCTTAGCATTTTATTCGCGAGGAAGAAGAAAAAGAAATAATAAAATGAAGCTCTAGTTCCGGCTGAAGAAAAACTTTTTTTAACTTACTGTCATTCGTTAAGCTTTATTCGGAAAGAACTACTTATAGGATTAAAATTTTTTATAAATTTCAGCGTGACTGACTTTAAATAATATAAAATTTTTTTATTGTTTACTTTAACATCTTACTAAAATTTTCAGTAAATAATAACTAAAGTGAAGTTATATTATAATAAAAAGTCAAATGAAGTAAAAGAATATAATATAAAAAATAAAAGAGTGTAAAAAATAAAATTCACTTTGAAATGTAATAAAGAAAATTGTCGTATACATTGTTGAGGTCGTAAAATACTTTGACGAGTGAAAATGCTGGAATGATTGTCAAGGTAACGTGCATAAAGAAACCGCTAGAATAAAATTTCCATCGTATAAAAAGGTAGGCTAAAGGCTTAAAGGAACGACAAAGTAGTATAGTATAGTACAGTAAGCACAAGCTCATGGAAAACGTATGAACGTATACTGTGTAGTTGATGTAACTATCGTAACATGGTAGACACTCTTTACTAAAGAAAACGAGTAGAGGTAAACCGAAGAGAGTAAGATAGTTTGCAAGCAATAAGAGAGCAAAGTAGCAAAGAACTGGAAAATGTACGATCCGTGAAACGGAATAAGGCCGGCAAGTAGTCGCGAAAAGCGTGATACGATGGCTCGACGAGATAAAAGAAGATAGGTATATTGAGGGTAGAATATTACTAGAAAAGGTAGGAAAAGACACTTGGTACTCTCTCACACAAATTACCGAGCAGCGTTCGTGGTGGCAGTATTCTTCCTCAAGTATCACTCAGGGTTTACTTCTCAATCTCACTAGGGAACTACTGTGGGTCTCACCTTCGTTCGAGGATAAATTTCCTAACCGTACAGGCTTAAATCTTCTAACCAACTTGGTGGTTGGAGAAGAGGCTCTGGACAACCACAAGTCCCACCGAATTTGCTGCTCTATTCATTTCACTGCGAGCTCTCGACTTTTGCACAAAATCCGGCCAGTTGATTTATTATTATTTCGCTTGAGTGTTAATATCACAACATGTGTAATGTGCACACAGAAAAACATGTTGAAAATAAACACAATTTATCTGTTAATAATGAATAACATCAAATTTATATTTAAATCCCGTGTACAAAAATTAAAACTTCAATATTGTTTAATGTGAAAACTTTTATTGATTTACACGGGAATATTAGGGAGGAAGAGAGATAGAAGGTTGGGCTAATTGGTACCTGTACAGTAATCGAAAAAAGAAACAAATCTTTTCGTGCTATCTGGGAATCGAACCCAGAACTCTGTGTTGGCAGCCAGAGACTCTCCCTCTAGGCTATCCGAGGTAAACTAAGACCCATGTTCTTTAACATTTATATAAACTCAGAGTCTAGCGCTGTGCACGGCCATCACTCACACTAATTGAGAGACATTCCAATTCAACTATTGTAAAATTTGCTATAGTTCTATTGGAAAGATACAGAGGCAGCACTGGAAATTTTCATCTCTTACTTTTTACAATAGTAATATCGTATTTTTTCATTAATAAATAGTATTTTTTCTTCTAAAATATTTGATAATTAATAGTAATAAAGGTATAGTCCAGCTTTACAATAGTTGTATCGTAAATTTTCCCAGAAATTTTTTCCCGTGTATTTAAGCTGGTAAAAAAATTTTCTCATACATTCATATATACACTGATAAAAAAATTAACTTGATTTTAAAGAAAAATTCTAAAATCAAAATTATCCTCTTAAGAGATTGACCATCTTCAATCGAGTGAACAAATTTTTGAACTATAAGAAGTTTAATTGATTCAAGTAAATTTTACTTTAAGATCAAATTCTTCAAAATGGTATTCTTGGTTCAAGAATTCTTCTCTTAAATCAAATAATTTTTTTTCATCAGTGTAATGCTTGCTATGTCCTGATATGTCCATACATTACTTGCTATGAAGATCTGGTTTGATATGCCTTGATATGTCCCGATATGATATGATATGAACATATATCAGGCATTTGCAGTAATCAGAAACAAACAAATTTATTAATATTGTATTGCTAAGTCAATCTTTTGTAAGAACAAGCTACAATAAAAAAGAATAAACAAACACCTACATATCTGTGATCAGAACATTGCCTTTTTTTTACTTTATTTTTTAATCTTTTCATTAGCCGTTTCATAAAAAATATTAGTGACAATAAAAGAATTCGAGCCAAACTCGTAGAGAAAGTTTACTCGGAAAGAGTAAATCTATTGAATGTTTGATATACAGTTACGGGTTATCATCGACTTCAATATTGAACTTTGTGACTAAAAAGTTAGGTACTTCGTTAAATATATCCATCGATATGTTGTAAGATGCTTTTGTGTAAAAGAATCCATTAATCTATTTAAAAAAATGCTTGTAAATTAGTAAAAGCTTGAAAATTAATAACAGTAAGTTTTTCGATTTCCCGTTCTTAATGTCAAGACGTAGAACGATTCCCGTAAATCTAGTGGGCACCGGGATGGCTCATCAAGACTTAAAGTTGCGAGGGTCTTGAGAATAATCGACAAAATATTTTGCAAAACATTCGAAGAAAATGCGGAAAGGATAAAAAGAAGCAAAATAGGTAGATTGTAAGAAAATCCTTCCTGAAATAAAAATAGAAGGAGAATCGATTTGAAAAGTTATCGCTTTAGAGTTTCACGAGTTGCACGTAACTTGCTGGTAACGACCACACTTCCTTGACGAAGCGGAAGACGACCAAGTATGGAAGTCTCTCTTTCAGTGACTCCCTCGGTAGTCGGATCGTACGGAAACTCAACGGGTGGACATTTGGAAAGATTGCTCGTAACCTTGTTATTCGCGGCGGGGATCAAAACTATTGGCAAAGTGACTTAAAAGTCACCCTGAGGACGAAATGCAACCTTTCTACCGTAGGGCATATCTGACTTGATTACATTACCTAAAAACTTTCTGCGCGGACAAAGAAAGAGATCGAGAAAAAGACATGAAAAATTTTATATCCACGATAAAAGTAGGGCGGATTTC